TTTCTTTTTTTTCTTGATTCTTTACTAGAATTCTCTAATACTCTTTTGAAAACTCTTTCTTCTTGGTAAATTTCATAAGTAATCTTTTCTTTTTTTAGATAAGTTTCCAGTGTTTGAGTATCATTTATTTTGAAAATATAAGGTGCAATTTTTTCACCTTGTTCTTTCTTCAGAATACTTCCAATGGTGCTATAATTCTTGGGTTCCATAGTAGATGTAAATTAGTTCATATTAACTATTTTTATATAGGAGCAATTCTATATATCACTTAACAAATGGGACATTATAAAACTAATTGTGATGATAATAACTAAATTTGAACCTGAAATTCTTGGTAATACCAATGCTCACTTTGTCCGGTTTTGTTGCAGTATGCCCCATATAATTTGGCATGTGATTCCCGAGTATAGGAACATTCAGTATGGTATAATAACTCTTGCAAAACGTATGGTATGGTATTGTATAAGTGTAATAAAATGGTTGTATACCAATGCTTAAATCTAACATACTTCCCTTCACACCCACCAAAAAAGGATTTAGAATAAAATTTTGTGTGACTTGGTATGGAAAAATATGGGCTATACCATACCATACCATACATTCTGCAAGAGTTATACCATACTGAATCTCTCCTTACCAGTGATTCCCCCTACCCTAAAACAAATAAACAAAGGATAAATTTGTTATTTATCAAAAAAAGAAATAAAGAAACTTTAAAGTATATAAAATATGATTGATTTTGAACTGAGATTGATGTATCAAAAAACATGCAACATTAAAAATCATTAAACTTTATACATTAAATAATATTGTTTTGATAGATTCTTTGAAAATGATGCTGTTTAAATTGACTATTACTTGTGTGATCAATTCAATAAAGAAACAAATTCAATTATTTTGCAATAAAAGCTATTTGTTTGTTGTTTTTTTGATTTTAGTATTAACGCATGGTTTCTATTCATAATACAGTCAGAACTCATTAAACCAAAGTCAATATTTTTGAAAAAAAAACTTTAATTTAAAAAACCTTAATAAAATTGACTTATTGAGGTAAATTTAATAGGTAGATAATAAAACAACATCAATTTATCAAAGCATTGTCTTAACGAGTTCTAAATGTATGTTTTATTCGGTTTTATTTGGTTTATTCATTTATTCATTATTATTATTTGTTTTATTTGCTTTATTTGTTTTATTTGCTTTATTTGCTTTTATTCATTTTAATTGCTTTAATTGCTTTATTTGCTTTATTCGTTTTATTCAGATTATGATATTATTTTAGCACAAAGAGCTTTAGAAATATTTAACCAATAATTTAATTACA